GAGGAGCCACCCTGGTGCTTCCCAACACTCCCAGCAGAGCTGAAGAACACCAGTGCTTGTTTGCTGGCTGAAGGAATCCCCTCCATCAGCAGGGCCTGGCACCCTGAGTGCCAGGGGAGCCCCAGAGGAACCTCCTGGCCAGGCACATTCCCACCACTCCCAGGTGGGCATCGCTTCACCCCGAGCCTCACCCGCCTCTGCCGGGGCGCCGGGGGAAGAGTGGGTTCCCTCTTCTGCTCCGGCTCCTGCTCAGCCATGTTCACCCAACCGAGGGAATCCAGGCCTGGGGCAGCCACAGTCACAGCTCAGGCACGAGGGAAGGGCTCGGGGTCACCCTCCCAGGGTCCACGTGGAAGCAGCTGTGGGGGCTCCACTCCTGGGCTCCACAACCTCTGCCAAAGAGGCACTGGAACATCCTGTGCAATAAAAACAACAGGGAGGAGGACAGCAAAACCTGGCCTGCACAGAAATGGCTCCCAAGTCCCAAAAAGCACTGATCAGATGTCTTTAAATCCTCCTTCCAAGGCATTTTGCCCAGCTATCAACATGGAATTTACACAACAGCGATAATGTCATGCTGCAGAAAACAAAATGTCATTTCCCAAGCAGCGATGAACTGGTATTTGGAGCCTCCTCTGATACAGAGAAAATGAATGACAATTTCCCTGGGAGCGGAAGCCCCCAAGCTCCTTCCCCTGCTGCTTTGGAGGGTGGATCACACTGAGTTATGGATTAGCAGAACATCCTCTAACTCATGCAAACGGCTCTGCCCCTCAGGAGCTGTTCCACGGTGTCTGAGCTGAGCCCGTCCCATTCACAGGGATCAGGCACTGAGCACATCTCAATGAACAGCTCCTTTGCATGGAGCCTCACAGCAGCAAATTGTGTTCCTGGGACAGGAATTCCTGAATTATTAACAAATCAAGCTACAGGAATGGAACACACTTCCATGCAAGCTGCTACAAAAGCGTAGCTGAACTACAGGTAGGAGCACTTAACGTTAACGACATTTAACACCCAACCTATGCTTCCAAAGGGAAAATCACTCTGCAGAGAGGATCTCCCTTAGCCTGACTTCACAGCAGAGCAAAGGCCGTGGAGCTGTCAGCAGGCACCACGAAGCCTCCGCTGGGATCACGTCTAGACCTGTGCTGCTGGGAGAGCTCCTCAGGCACCCGAGGCATCCGCCCGGGGCTGGCAGATGTGACAGGGACCCCTGGGAGCTGCTTTGCTCCCTCCTGGAGCTGCAGCTGGAGGCTACACGAACACCCAGGGGCACCTCCAGCAGCTCTGCACATCTGAGCCGAGCCTGCAGTGGCTGTGTGAGATCCCAGCTTTGACCTCTGCTTCTCCTCCCGAGCACAGATCAAACACAACCACCACGGGCTGGGCTTCTACCAGACCATTGCCCCACAGATGTCTCAGCAGGGCAGAGCACTGGGGTGCACCCACATTTTCAGCTGTGGTTACAACTATTTCAGACCTTCTCACTGTGAATTCACTGTTCAACAGAGGCTTCTGTCCCCAAAAGCACCGGGGCAAGGCTGAGCTGGGGGCCTGTGGCTGCCTGCAGGGACTCACCCAGGGACAACCACGGGTGCAAAGATTGCAGGGGGACTGGGAGCAGCAGGAGCCCGGATCCTGCTGATCCCTGCACTGGCCCAGCAGCAGCCCTGCCCTGGTTATCCCTGTACTGGGGCTGAGCCGTGGCTCAGGCTGGTGCTGCCCTGCCCAGGCACGGAGCTGGCACAGGCATTCCCTGGCCCGGCTGTGCAGTCTGAGGGCTGCTCGGGTGCCCTGGCACGGGAGAAAGAGAAGCTGTCAGTGCTGGGCTGGCCTGAGTGGCTGCCACCCCTCCTGCCCCGGGAGCAGCACCAGGGCCCTTTCCTCCCTCGGGACAAACAGCCCTTGTCCAAGCGCCCGGAACAGAGCCCAGCCCCCTGCCAGCCCCTGCCATCCCCCTGCCATCCCCTACCAGCCCCTGCCATCCCCTACCAGCCCCTGCCAGCCCCTGCCATCCCCTGCCAGCCCCTGGCATCCCCCTGCCATCCCCTACCAGCCCCTGCCAGCCCCTGCCATCCACCTGCCATCCCCCTGCCAGCCCCTGCCAGCCCCTGCCAGCTGCAGGACAAACACTCCAGCCCTGCTTCCGCAGCCGAGGCCAGGCTGGCAGCGAGGGGACAGCAGGGACACCCAGCAGAGCCAGGCTGTGACAGCCACCACCGTGCCCGGTGACAGGAGCCGGGCAGCAGATCCTGCACAGCTCCCCGGGCACTGCCCATGTGCACAAATACAGATTTCCCCCTTTTCCACCCTTTCCCAAGGTCTGACTTCCCAGCTTGGTGGGTTTTCCCTTTTCTGATGCAACTGTTCTCGTCCCTGCACAGGTACTTCTGAGCTGATTTTATTGACCTAAACAAGGCCACATGTATAAAAATTCCAAATTGTGGTTAAGACAAATCATTATATCCCTCTCCCTCCCCCCCATATTCTATTGCTGGAAAAAAGAAGCCATCTCACTCAGACTGGAGTAATCCACTGGATTTAATGCTTTTTTTTTTTTTCCAAACCCAGAGAATGTCACCACAAATCCAAAATCCATCCAGCATTTTTTTGTCTCAAAGTATCTCCTGGATGTTTATTTCAAAATGGTCTAAATTAAGCCAAAGCAAGAGCATTTCAAAGCAATGCAGATATTGTTTCTTCAAAAGGAAAAACTAAGTCTGTTATTCCAAAACCACCCACAGCCAGAACAGAGCTGGGACAGACCCCACAACCAGCAACAAACGCTCAGCTTCAATCCAAATGTGCACTTTGTACACAATGAAAGTGAAAACAAAAAGCAGTAACATTAACAGCTCCATTACTTGGGATTTTCAGAATGAATCCAGCACTGGGATTGGAATACTGTGGACACTGCTCATTAACAGGGATTTACTGGGTGGGCAGCAGCCCCAGGATTGCCTTGAGGCAGCAGCTTCACACAGGTCATTAACTGGGAAATAACACAAAACCAGGGAGCAGCAGGTGGGAGCCTGCTTTAAGTCCTTAATAGGAATTTGCTGTAGTTTGGGAAGAGAGCAGTGAGAAGGATTTTCCCTGCTCTCACTGGGGAAAGGCTGTTCCCAAAGCACCACACGGGGTTAAATGTCACCCATCTGGGACACTGAGCAGAGCAAGAAGTGCTGGGGGTGATGAGTGCTCTGTGGCCACCAGCCCTGGTTGTCTCCAGGCTCCAAAGTCTCTCCCTCATCCTTTCAGACATGGTTGCCACCCAGCTTCCCAGCCACACTCAGCTCACTCTGGCAGAGCCTCTGCCCATCGCTGGGACTTTTTCAGGCCAGTTTAAGAGAGGAGCAGAGCTGCTCAAGTGCCCCTGGAGCACAGAGCCAGCCCCAGCTCACCGGACCATCCCTGCCCACATCCCCTTGCTGCTCACGTCCCGGGTCGCTCACACTTCCTTGGAGACACCTCCCTGGCACTCCTCCACCTGCTCCCCGGAGCAGCCTGGGGTCAGTGCCAAAGGCCAGGGGGACAATTCCCTTCCCAGAGTCCCCACAGCTCCAGAGGGGCTCCCACGGGGGCTGTGCTGCCTCTGGGCACAGCAGGGGCTCTCCAGGTTGCTCAGGGACAGTCTGGACCCATGCCTGGCCTGCCTGGTGTCCCAGAGGGAAAACAGACTGAAAGAACTCGGCACAACACCCACTTCCAGGAGGTGCTTGGGCAGAGAGGAACAGCAAAGACATGCTCCCCTTGGAATGAATTTATTGTGGAGACTGCACCCAAAGTTCTGAGGGAGAGGAATAGAGAAGGGTTTTAACTGTGTCCTCCACAGAGCCTCACTCCTCCCGGGCTGCCCAGAGCAGCTGTGGCTGCCCCTGCATCCCTGGAAGTGCCCAAGGCCAGGCTGGACAGGGCTTGGAGCACCCAGGGATAGTGGATGGGGTCCTTGCCCATGGCAGGGCATGGAAGGAGATGCTCTTTAAGTCCTTTCCCACCCAAATCATTCTGGGATGAATCCTGTTCCTGACCCAGCTCTGACAAGGGACAGAGGTAGCCTTGAAAGAGAACAGTCCTGCTTGAAACAGGCCCCCAAAAGATATTAAAATGCATGGAAACCTGAAAAAAGAAAGGGAGCAGGGCAAGGTCCTGAATCCCTTATAAATAGCAGCAGAAAGCAGAGACATTTATCAGCGTCTCTCCCAGCCGAGCCGGCTCCTTGCCAGAAAGACAGAGCCAAAGGCATCAGTCCCTCACTCCCCTTCTGCTAATTGTAAATTCAAGTTTAATGCCAAGCCCACAGAATGCCAGATTGGACTGGTCTCTCAAGCAGAAAGCTAAACCATACATATTGCTCTGTCTGAAAGGAATTCCTCGGACAGAAGGGAAGGAAGAGGGTCTGGAATAAAGCAGAATCATTGATATTCCAGGAGGGCTGAGACTCCCCACACAGCTCCTGTGTGCTGCTGCAGGACAGGGAGGGGATTCCACACTCAGACAGAGCTACCATGACTCCACCTGGCCCGATCAGTTTGGAAAGCACAGGAATCCTCCCCAAAAGATACCACTGCACAGGGTGTTACACAACAGGAGGCCTCACAAACTTCTCTTCCCATCACTCTCACAGAAACAAGCTGAGTTACTGAATCCAGCCATTTCTACTCCGATTTTTTCCAGACGTTTTGCAGGAATTTGAGGTGTCTCCTCTCTCCTGTTGCACAAGGTGTGCAGGGAGCCCTGAGCCCTCTCTGCCCCACAACTGGCAATCCTGCTCCCTACACACACACACACACACACACATTTTTCCTGTAAGTCATTTTCCATAGAGGAAAGAGCGTGCAGGACACAGGAGATTATGGGATAACACTTCCAGGTTGCAAGCAGCACATTAATTTAGTAAAGAAGCACCATTGACAGAGATTTCCCAAATCTTTTCCCACCCATGAGCTGCCCAGAGACTCCACTTCTGCACGTTCAAGGCACTTTGGAAACGCAGCATAGAAAAGTTTTATAAAAAGTTTTACTTGGAAAACAAGGAAGAACAATGACGTAACTGCAGACAACAATAATAAAATTAACAAAATGCTAATGGCTATCCATTGCTTTGTCCTTGTTGATATAAAAAGTGTAACATCAGATCCAGTGTACAAATACAAAAAAAATTGTGCATAATAAATGTACTGTAATACTGTACATACAGCATAAACCGTTCAATGAGAATGAATTAAATATACCTATTTGTCTCCTGACTTGGAAGACAAAAGAATAAAATTCTAAAGTCCTAGAATCAGTGTATAAACCCTTTCTGGGGCTGAATCACGAGCCAACGGTATCCCTGAAAATCAGCAGAGTCAAATATTCCCTTAATGGAAGCCATTATTCATGGGACTGCTGGTTATGATAAACTAGGGGAAAAAACCACAGCGTATCAACTGAGTCAACGTTAAATCCAGACCGAGTTCTTCCCATCTCCCGACTTGCTACTGGCACTGCTTTTGTTTGAGCCCGCTTTGGATTTCTTCCCTCTGGAACTGCTGGGGTTGTTTTGGTTGTTGTAAGCCTGGATGGCAAGGTCCAGGCGGTCCTGAGCCACTTTGATTTCCCTCTGCAGGATCTCCAGGTCGGCGGGAATGTTCCCTTCGCTGCTGCCGTACTGCTGTTCCTGAGCTATGTTGGCTTTGTTCTGCCTGTAGGCCATCTTGGCGTTGGACAGCTCCGTGCACTGCATCTGCTCCGGCTTCAGCGCGATGTTGTAGCCCGGCGGAGCTGAGGGCGTGTTCCAGGTGAAGGGGTAGTTGAAGGTCCCAGAGTCAACCAGCTCCTTCTTCTTGGCATTCAACGTGTCCCGGATGGTGCCAAAGCCCAGGTGCAGCATCTCCCAGACGTTCAGCAGCAGACACATGCAGCTCACCCCATACATTATCAGCAGGAAAATGGTCTTTTCGGTCGGCCTGGAAATGAAACAATCGACGTTGTGCGGGCAGGGCTTCCTGCTGCACACGAACACGGGGCTCACCTGGAAGCCGTACAGGAAGTACTGCCCCACCAGGAAGCCAACCTCAAACAGGGCCCTGGCCAGGAGCTGCAGCACGTAAATCCTCATGAGCCCGTCCTCCCGGATCTGCCGCCGGCCGTCGTGCTTGGCTTTGGCAGGGCTCTGCTTCTCTTTACTCTCCCGGACGCTCTCCACCTCGATCTCTGGGTACATCATTGGGTCTTCCTCGTGGTCATCCTCAGCTTCCTCCAGGCCCCGGTGCTGTTTCCAGCGGATGGGCAAGCTCCTCCTCCTGGCTCTCCTGCTGGCTTCGCTGTGCTCCACCATCCGGGCGATCTTATGGATGGCGTAGCCCAAGTACAGCACGGAGGGAGTGGCCACGAGAATGATCTGGAACACCCAGAACCTGACGTGCGAGAGAGGGGCGAAGGAGTCGTAGCAGACGTTCTCGCAGCCAGGCTGCTCCGTGTTGCACACAAACTTGCTTTGTTCGTCATAATAAATGGATTCTCCTCCCACAGCAATTAGGACAATCCGAAACACAATCAACACTGTCAGCCAGATTTTGCCAACAAAGGTTGAGTGGTTCTGGATCTCCTCTAACAGGCGGGTCAGAAAACTCCAACTCATGGTGGTCAAATGAGTTTATCTAAAAAACAAACAGAACCCCCACATATTTATGAATTTATCAGCTCGAGCCTAAATGGTTCAAACTCAACCAAGAGAGTCTGAAAACTCCAGACTTTTACACCCAACACCCATCCATGTTTGTGACCACCACCTGCTATCGGGATCCAGCTGACAGAATTTGCTTGAAGATCCTACGTCTCCTCCGCAGGCTTTTGAGGAATCTGCTGTAAGAAAAAGTAGCAGTTCAGTATCATTTCATTAAAAAAGTGCTCCCAAAGCTACTCCCCAGCCCAAAACAGACACATGGCTGCTCTGTATGTCATAGGTTGATAAAAACATTTCAAGTGGAAGCTGAAGACTCCAAAACACCGTGGATGGGAAGACAAGTGCCCATGAGATTTTTGGGTGCTGTTGGACACATTCCACCACTGACAAGAGGATTTATTTTAATTTGTTAAAGCCTGGGTTAGTGATCACAGTCTCAGCCACAACCTACAGCAGACACAGTTGTGTCCAAGGGGAGTACCAGCTGTCCTAATTCAGGAAGGGATGGCCCAGCCCACCTGTGATGCAAAGGCAGGACAGGCTGGTGGCCTGAGCCGTGTCACCCTGCAGGGCCAGCCAAAGGACAGGGCTGGGCCAAGAAACTCCAAACTACGCTCGAACCACCCTGTGGATCAATTTGGGTCCAGCCCCTCTGGGAGGCTCCAAACCTTCCTCCCACAGGGTCAGAAAAGATTTAAATGTGGACTTTGTAGTGAAAACCTGGTTCGAAAGAGTCACCTGTCAAAGCTTTTAGAAGAGCTCCCCCGCAGCAGTGAGTGGTGGTGGGTGAGGGGAGAAGGGACCGCGCTGGCAGGAGCTGAGCGAGCGCCGGAACTGCCGGGCCTGGCCACGCTCCCGAGCGGGGCTGGCACAGCCTGCCAGAGGCAACTCTGCCAAATTCCAGCCTGCAGATTCCAGGTTGCCCAGAGAAGCTGTGGCTGCCCCTGGATCCCTGGAAGTGTTCAAGGTTGGGCTGAGTAGCAACCTGGGACAGTGGAATGTGTCCCTGCCCATGGCAGGGGGTGGCACTGGATGGGCTGCAAGGTCCCTTCCAACCCAAACCATTCCATGACTCCAGGATAAATTTGCAATCCTAACAGTAAAAATCCCATCCTTGGAAACTCCAGTCTGGAAACATGTTGAACAAACGCCAGCAATACTGCAGGCCCTGCTGGAGCTCCAAGGAGTGAAACTGGTAAAACATGGGAAGATCTGTCAAGAGCAACGAGGGAACTTTAAAACTTTTGATGATGTCAAATATCAATTTGACATAAAGATTATAAAAAGAAATTATTACATCAGAAAAACATTTGGTGACAGATCCTGAACCAAGAACTGGACAAATCTCCAGCACTCTGATCTTAAAAGGGATTTATTCTTGACCAGAAGAAATTCCAGGAGACTGGAGGAAAACTAGTACTTGGAACTCTTCAATTTCTTCCACGTAACTACACAGTTGTTTATAGGCAAACTCATGAAATGTGAGGAGATGCAAGCAATGCAGAATTAAAGGATATCAATGTGATCTCCCTCTGGTGGAATTCAGTGTTTCACTGAAAAGCCAAGAGCAGGGATATGGTGTGGATGGGCTGTGCAGAACATTTGATTTATCACTTCATGACAGTGGGAGAAAAAAATAGCACAGGAGAGTATTAAAAAAGGCCATATTAAGTGATCAGAAGTAACAAAAAATCTTGACAAATTATTCCCACAGCAGTTCTGAAAATCCCTGGCAGGCAGGCTGATCTTCCCAAGCTCAGCTGAGGAGTGGCTGCTGACAAAATGGGCCCATGGGACATGAGTTTGCAGGCTGAGAACTGGAGATGAGAGTTACCAGTGGTACAGGAAAACACGGATTGCTGGGGAGGCTGAGGGCCCTGGATCAGCCTGAACCACGCTCAGCACAGCTCAGACCAGCAGAGCAGGGGTTTGTAACTGGGGGAGAGGCTGCTGTGGGTGTCAGCTAACAGGGAAGGGAACGAGGCCCCTGCAGGATCAGGGTCTCAAGGAGAGCTGCTGAACAGTGCAGGTGATGGATTGAGCCCTGCAGTGTCACCTGCAACCAGGAGCCAGGGGTGATCTTACCTCCTTGTTAGCGAGACAGCCCTGGGCGCCTGCGGCTGCATCCTTCAGCAGGGGCTCCAGCATCAGAGAGCAGCTACAGGAGGCTCAAAACCAGCTGAGGGACAGGGCAGATGCCTAAAAGGGAGTGATTTAGAAAGATCAATTTGTTTAGTTGGGAAACATAGGAGGAAAATGAAAGCGAATCCCAACAACGAGTCAGGATCACAATGTGTCATCAAAATCACCAATTAGGACAAAAATCCCCAGCCCTCACTCAGGTGGATGGACAGGCCACCTGCACTCAGCCCTGAGAAGGACATATTCAAATCAGATATATTGCAAAATTCAGGCAAACCCAGTGGGAAGAAATGATGATGTCTGACTCCAGTTCAGAAGGCTGAATGATTTCTTTATTATAACTATGCTATAATACATTAATATACTATATAAAAGAATTACTAAAACTACATACTAATTTCTGTAACTACCATATCTAACTCCCTCCCAACTCGTGACCCTCTCTGAGTCCAGCCACAGGTGGACTGGATTGGCCATCAGGCTCAAACAATCTCACCAGAATCCAATCAAGCAATCACCCCAGGTAAACAATTCTCCAAACACATTCCACACGAGAAAAACAAGGAGCAGAAATAGAAATTGTTTTCTCTTTCTTCTCTCTGTGCACCTCTATGAAAAATCCTGAGAAAGAGAGAAATGTCTCTGTGACACAGACGTGTTCCATAGATAACAGCTATCCTCCCAAGGTGCTTGCAATCCTCCCAAGGCTTCCATCCCAGCTCCCCTCCAACACAACCCTGCTGCCATCATTCCACGGAGCACTGGCTGAAATAACACACTTTTAACAGGCAAAGAGACCAGAGGTTCCAGTCTCAGAGCAGCCCCCTCCTGCAGCAAGGGCTTGGCACCCCCATTTCAGAAAGGCACCCAAGAGCAGCTCGGGATGAGCGTGCTTCAGACACCCCACACTCAGCATTTCCCACTCGGATTTGGGGTCCAGATGAGGGGCACATGAATCTGGGCATCCTGAGAAGAACAATGGGCAGCAAAGGCAGGTGAACCCCACATCTGGAACAGGAGGTTAACAGAGGGGAGGAGCCCCAGTAGCCCTCTCTCACCACACTGCTCTGCCCATCTCATCACCCCGGGCACCGACAGGACAGGCACGTCCCCACTGACACCTTGCGATTCATCAACTAAAGAAGAGACAAAACCCAAAGGAGTTTAAGAGGTTAATTCTTATTCGCTGAAAATGTCAGGGCCACATTTCTCACTGAAAGTAAACTACTAAGTAAATATGAAATTAATTAAACACTGTTGCCAATGTAAATTTGGAGTAACAGCAGGAACCAGCCTTTAAATTTTCATATACTGTCACATTCCTCAGGAGTTAAAGACAGGGAAGTTTGAAATGAGTACAAATTTCAGTAAGAGAATCTTTACTTTTAGACAAGCTGCTACTTCCCATCTAAGAAATTTCTTCAAGGTACATGCTAGCTTTTCACAGTGCATTTTCTACTTGCAGACAGGTAGCAACAACAACACAGGAATCATTCCTGTGATTCCAACCCGAATTCCACCAGTTGTATCAATGCACAGAATGCCAGACCTATGTACAGACATACGCTGAGGCTCCCACAGCCCTGGGATGCAGGAGGATTTACCCAACCTGTGGTTAACAACCAGGACCTGCTAATTAGTGGGTCCTGGCTGTGGAGCTCTGAAGCTGCCCAAGAGCTGATTCTCTTTGCCAAGAAAATGTCACTTTGTCTATTTAGTCCTAGTCCTGAGCAGAGCTGCTGGGACAAACATGGGAGGACCAATAAACAAGCAAAGAACTTCCTGGTCTTTGAGGAAATGTTTTGGTTCAAGCAAAATGACAGTCATTAAGTCTTGGAAAGGTTCAGCCCATCCAAATTCAATGCAGTACAAACCCAAGAACTTCCAAGTGGAATTCCGGTGGTGTCCCTGCGTTCTGTGGGATCAGCCAAGGTCAGAGGGGCACGTTCTGCCTCTCCTCCACGTGCTGCAGCACCCAGACACATCTCAGTAACCTTCACCCAGCGTACACCCGCGCTCCTGCATCTGCTGTTTCTGGCAACATTTAACTCAATAATTTTCCCATGTTTGAAAGAAAAGTCTATGGACACTGACACGCAGCTGAGAAAGGCAGAATGTCAGCAACTTCAGCTAATTTAAGTCATGCCAGAAAGTGCATTTGAGAGAGACTTTCATGTCTTGTATTTGTCATAAGTTCACTTCAGCACTTCCAGCGGAGGAGGCTCCTTGGAGCGGGCAGGATCCATGATGAAATATCAGGGGGCTTATCTCTGACAGTGGGCTGGCTCCTGAATTAAAGCTTTGCAGGCACTGACATCCAGAGATAATGAAGAATTTGGAGCAGGTACATGGGAAAAAAGAAATCAGCTTCAGATGAAGAATTTCTGGAGTTAACACAGCTGTTGTTCACATACAGCTAGGGAATGGCCCCTCAGGTGTATTCTCTCAGGGAATAGCCCCCTCCTCTACCCAGCCCATGGGGGTTTAAATGTTAAATTTAAACATTTTAACATTGAAATTTTCACCTCTTTTCAGCTTTCTCCTCCAACAGCAATGACCTCCTGCCGCTCAGGGTGTGAAGAACTGCACCGTGGAGCAGCAGTTACTGTAAAATGCTCAAAATCCAGCCCTTGGATGGGACAGCTGTGGCAGGGACAGCAGCGGGGCAGGAGGAAGCTGCAATGCTCCACAGTGTCCCCATTCCCCCGAGATGGAGGCACCTGGAGGGCAGGACAGCCAGCACCAGCTGGGTGTCAAGGCAGCCTCATCCTGGGCTGTCAAATCCCAAAAACCTTCAGAACCATCTCCTGGCCCTGCCTCGGCACAGACTGGGCCCAGCCCAGGGCAAACTGGAGCCCCTCAACTCCATCCCAGTACAAACTGGAGCCCCTTGGCTGCAGCCCAGCACAAACTGGAGCCCCTTGGCTCCAGCCCAGTACAAACTGGAGCCCCTTGACTCTATCCCAGTACAAACTGGAGCCCCTTGGCTGCAGCCCAGCACAAACTGGAGCCCCTCGACTCTATCCCAGCACAAACTGGAGCCCCTTGGCTCCAGCCCAGTACAAACTGGAGCCCCTTGGCTGCAGCCCAGTACAAACTGGAGCCCCTTGACTCTATCCCAGTACAAACTGGAGCCCCTTGACTCTATCCCAGTACAAATGGAGCCTCTTGGCTCCAGTCCAGCACAAACTGGAGCCTCTTGACTCCATCCCAGTACAAACTGGAGCCTCTTGACTCTATCCCAGTACAAACTGGAGCCCCTTGGCTCAAGCCCAGCATAAACTGGAGCCCCTTGGCTCCATCCCAGCACAAACTGGAGCCCCTTGGCTCCATCCCAGTACAAACTGGAGCCCCTTGGCTCCAGCCCAGCACAAACTGGAGCCCCTTGGCTCAAGCCCAGCACAAACTGGCAGCTTCAGCCCAAAGCACCTGAGCATGAGGGTGCAGGGAGTGTTGGTTTGGTTCAGCACTAGGCAGCCTGTGAGGATCATGGAGCTGAACTGGATGATCCATGTGGATCCTGTCCAAAAGACTTTTTTCCTCCCTAAATTATGTATTCCCAGGTCACGCTAATGAAATCTGATTAATTTATTAATGATTTATTTGTTTTGTTTTGTTTTTAAGCAATTTAAAAAGACATGTGCTGAGCAGGAAAAAAAGAAGAAATGCATGGCAATTCTGTTGTTAATCAAAAGAGGTTTCATGCTGCATGAAAGTGAAATTTTGCCCACAGGCTAATTAAAATAGTATTTGAATTAGGATGAATGAATAATGCTAATTATTCATTCAGATCTCATTTATATTGAAAAGTAAGAAATTACATGATTTACAAGTACTTTTGAGGAAGCAGAGAGGTTCCTTTTTTTTTATTTTTTTTAACCTGGAAAATGAGTAAGACTTCATTGCTCAAGGAAGCAGAGAGCCATGGCCAGACCCAGCACTGGAATGGTGCCAACACATCCTGAATCCTGGTGAGCACTGTGCTGATGCCACCTGCATTCCCTGAGCAGCAATTCCAGTGTCCAATGTCCTGAGTGACACAAGAGCAAGGATGTGGGGATACCCCTGGGTTAAGAGAACTCGCAGCTATCACCCCTCTATCCTCCTTGAAGGAAGTGGGTTCAATCACCATCAATTTTACTCCTATTTTCAGCAATTAAGATGAAAAGGAGTAAGAAGAGTGCACTGAATTTTATTTTTAATCTTATAGAATACTTGGGAAGGAAAAGGCTGGGACTTTTTGGAGAGCACACAGTGCACTTTCAAATAAATCCTCTGTCATCTGGCAGGGCTCACGTGGCAACAGCAGAGAATGGTTTGGAAAAAGCCACAATGTCAGTGTCAATTTGGAAACCATTTCTGAATGGTGCCTCCCAATCCCAGGCATGCTAACAAGGCTCTGCTGACTCCCAGACCAATCCCCCGAGTCTAAAAATCCCCACGCTGCATTATGAGACCACAAATCCTATGTGGGATATAAATAGAACAGGAAAATATGGGTAAGAGGTAGGGATATAATAAGATTCTTGCGCTGTCAAAAAAATAAAGATGTCAAGTATGTATCTTTTTGAAAATCAACATATACCCACCCGAGCATTCAGCTTACAGATAAACTGGAATTTGCAGCTAAGACATGAACCTCCGGTCGCCTCGGCGTGCCCTCTAGGTACTGCTAACATGGGAAGCCAAGTGACAATTTTAGCAACACTCCCCCGCAGTGACAAAATTCAAATGAAATCACGACGTGTTTTGTGCTGGCCCAAAGCAGCTTTTAGTGCACCTAGAGGAGCCGTGCTGCTGCAGGAAGCAGCGTGCCCAGGGTCCCAGCAGCACCGGACAGGACGAGCTGAGCCTGCCCAGGTTCATCTGACAGCAGGAGCCTGCAGTGACAACAGGCTCCACGGGAAATGGACACTGGGCTCTACAGTCTCTGTCACCTCGTGAGATTTTCGGAGGCCCGTCATGGGGTCTGTGTCAGCCTGAATCCCTTCACACACGCTCAGCAATCAGCATCCCTTCTCAAGGATGGGAATGAGGTGTTCCAGCTCACAGACTGG